GTGTCAGATCAAAAGTCTCAAGCCTTAGACTTTTAAGTCCAGCAGATGCACACTCACTCAGACCATGGTGATCAGATCAGGAACCAAGGCAGGCTTCTGGGGTGGAGCTGACTGCTAGTTGAGGTTGAGGAGAGGGTTGTAGGGAGAAGTTGCAACTCTCACCAGGGTCAAGATGTGGCTGTAGAGTTTGAGAGCGGTGAGACCTGCAGAGGATCAGGCAAACAATGACAAGTGATGGGATGTCAGTCCAAGTCCTCATCAAGCTCTCCAGCTTCTGTGTATCAGTATTGGCTGGATAAATGTCTGTTCATTTGCTCTATTATTTATACTATATTTGGGGGCTTTCGACCCCCCTTTCAATCCTTATCAGCTGCCACTGGATTTCTCAGTGACATCATTTACTCTGGGATTAAAACTTCTGGTTTGGGGGCTGCAGTTGTGGCTCAGCAGTAGAGCGCTTGCCTAGCACATGTGAGGCCATGAGTTCGATCCTCAGCCCCACATGGAAATAGATAAAGATATTGTGTCCAACTACAACTAAAACATAAATATTTAAAAACAAAACATCTGGTGGATCTTTTCGCCTTTCCCAATTATAGGGCACCTTTCCCTCTTCTGCCAGAGGCTTCACTCTGAGTTTATTGAGGTGGGGGCCTGAGGGCCATCCTGGAAGCTCCATTAGGCTGCCTGATGAGACTGCAGGTTTCAAACTGGAGCTTTTAAAATGGAGTTGCTTAGGCTCAGGCCTAAGGCCATCCTCACAGAGTTCTCTAGAGTACTCCTGAGTTTGATCCTCAGCCTGGGGAATAAAACATACAAGAAGAAGGTGATGGAGCTGGGCGAGGTGGCATTCACCTGTAACCCCAGCAGCTCGAGAGGCTGAAGCAGGAGGATCGTGAATTCACAGCCAGCCTCAATAATTTTGCAAGGCCCCGAGCAACTCAGCAAGATCTTGTCTCTAAATTAAAAAATAAAAAGTATAAAAAGGGCTAGGGATGTGGCTCAGTGGTTAAGCACCCCTGGGTTCAATCCCTGGTACCAAAAAAAAAAAAAGATGATGATGAAATGGGCCAATGTACTATTGGGCAAAAACTATACAGAAAGGAGGTGTGGGTTCAGGGAGGGAAAGGTCATCTAAGGAGAACCCATGAAAAAGATGCAGCTTGAGCTAAGTCTGGGTTATAAGTCAGACACTGTTTCTGGTATTGGGGTTAAGAGCTGACTAGGACAGAATCTCTTTCCTCAAGGGGCTTCTAGACTGGAAATACTAAGAGGGCTTCATGTAGATGAGGGCCATACCCTGAGGAAGGTGGAGCAAGAAGATAGATAGAGCCTGGGTCTCTGACATATGAACCACCAGACCTTTTATTATTATTTGTATTTATTCTTTTTAGATATACATGACAGTGGAGTGTCTTTTTTTTAATTCTTTATTATTTATTTTTAGTCATACATGACAGAAGAAGTGTGGTGTGTCTTTTGACATACATACATGCAGTACAACTTACTCTCGTTAGGATCCCATTCTTTTTTTTTTTTAATATTTTTTAGCTGTCAATGGACCTTTATTTTATTTATTTATATGTGGTGCTGAGAATCAAACCCAGTGACTCACACATGCTAGGCAAGCACTCTACCACTGAGCCACAACCCCAGGCCTAGGATCCCATTCTTGATGTGGAGTACATGATGTAGAGTTACATTAGTCATATGTCACATATGAGCATAGAAAAGTTATGTCCAATTCATTCTGCTGTCTTTTCTACATGATGGTGTGTGTAGGAAACACCAGACTTCTTTATTGGCTTTATTACATGACAACTCAGAGAACATTCTTAACCCACTATTGGGCTGGGTGTCACTTGTAGCAGCTGGACCAACAACCTAATAAAGGAATGGATTAGCGGTTGCTACCAAAACTCCACATTGGAATAAGGATTGCTACCGAAATGCCACATTGGAATAAGGATCCCTGCAGCAGAATCCTGTAGCTGTCTAATATAGATACTTCTCTAATGCTGTGCTAACCACTGAGCGGTATCTCTCCCTGCATCTCTGTTCCAAGTGTGCTCATTCTGCAGTCCAGGCTGGAGATGCAGTAGCTGCCTGAGAGATGTACTTCTCCTGGTGAATGCAAAAACACACAAGGGCCAGCAAAACCTCAGCAGGCCTTTTGTACTTTATTTGAAGGGTCAAAGCAAGCCCAAAGCCAGAGGACAGGAAAGGACATTCCCACTACATGGAGACCATGGATGCCAGGAGGGGAGAGAAATTGGGGCCAGTAATTCTCTCGTAGTATGTGATGATCCCTGGTTTGGAGGTTACACAATTTGGACCCACTCTTCTAGTGATCACCTGGAATTGCAGCCTACTGAAAAGAAATGCCACCACTGTGGTGATTCAGCCACCTTCTCAATTAGATCAGGAGTCCTGACAAGGAAAGAATCATGTCTCCTTCCTCTCTACCCTGCTCCTGCTCCCTTTCTCCCAGTGCCTAGCACCATGCCCTGCCCTTAGGGATGACTCAGAAATATTACTGAGTGAATTTTAAACCATTCCTTCATTCTCACCATGTGATTTGTTACAAAAGAGAGACATGTGCTAAGTATTTGCCCCATAAAATGTAAAGAGATTGTGCCATCTGAAGCTGAGATCTGTGCCCAGATCTGACTCATGCCAGTTTTGAATCTGCTACCTCCCGTAGGGACCTCCAGAAGACAGGACTAAACACCAAAACAGGTTAGTGAAATTTCTTTCTCTAGAGGCCATTTGAAACTGGAAAGAGTCTCATCACCTGAAATATCCTAGGAGGAAGGCTGTCTGAAGGCACCAAGCTAGTCAAGGATCCACATGGCTTAAGGACAATTTCAAGACAGTGAGATTTACCTTTAAAGCCCATGCTGCACCAGGCAGTGATGCACACCTATAATCCCAGGGACTCAGGAGGCTGAGGCAGGAAGATCACAAGTTCAAAGCCAGCCTCAGCAACTCAGTGAGATCCTGTCTCAAAATGAAAGATAAAAAGGACTCGGGATGTAGCTCAGTGGTAAAGTGCCCTGGGTTCAATCTCTAGTATTAAAAAAAGTATGTAATATTTATGTATAATATGTTTTGCAAATATAAATTCATGCAAATTAAAAATTTATAGTCAACTTCTAAGTCACACTAGCCACACATCAAGGGCTCAATAGTCACATGGCTAATGGCCACCATATCAGATAGCATAGTAGACTATTTTCATCTCTACAATTCTGATGGACATGCTGGTAAGGGTGTTTCAGAGAGGGCAACTGGGAGGCTGCAATATCACTGGGTATTTAACAATGAATTTGAAAAAAATACAAAGTGGGAATTAGGTCACTATACTGGGACAGTGGTTCCCAGGAAATTACCTAAATTTGCCTAAAACAAGCTTATAGACATTATTTTACTTTTACTTTTTTTTTTTTTACAAAAAACAGCTTAAACTTTTTAGCTCCTGCCAGTCTCTCTCTCCTCTTAGGAGCTCACAGGCAACAAAGTGAATTAATAAGTAGCAAGGGAACATTAAAGGAAAAATTCAACCAGCTGCCATGCACTGGTTGACATTTTTTCCTCCAAGAAATGTGTGTGGGTCATTGTGATTATATTCCACGTGAATAATCAGCAGCCATAGTTCCTCTTGTTAAGGGTGTTTCCAGTTTTGTTACAGAAATAAGCGTTCATGTACAACTTCCAAACACCATGCCTCCTAAGCAAGTTTGATTATTAGCAAAATAAGGGATGGGGAATCTGCTTGGAAGTAACCTGAATCTAGGCCAATTAGATGGGAACATGGTGGAGAAAACTATAACACCAAACTTTCTCTTAAAGGAAGAATACACATAGACTGGAAGGGGACAGGAAAATAAAGGTTGCCCTACTCAAAAGGTAACCTCTGGAACAGTGATTTCCAATTAATAATTGCAGATCTTTGGAGAGCCCATCACAGCAGGAAGCCTCTGAATGCATGTGTGCACCATGCACTATTTGCAGAGCAAATAAATCCTGTCTGTGTCTCCCAAAAATATAATCACTATATCACTAATAGTAATCATATATTGAATGTATATGCATGTTATCTCATTTAAATCTTACATCTACTTAGAATGGAGATCTTATTCTCCCCAATTTAATAGTTGAAGAATCTGAAGCTGGAGGATAAATAACTTGCCCAAGTTCAAAAAGATAATATATTAGGGCTTTTTTTTTCCATATGAAAGAAATTCAACTAAAATATGCTTAAATAAAAACATGACATATCAGCTTATATAACAGGAACCCCTAAGGGCTTAAGGCTGGCTGCATCCATCACTCATTGCATCCACTCCCTATCTGCATCTCAGGTCCACTTTCCTCTGTGATAACTTCAGCCTTGAGAGGACTCCTCTTTTTTTTTTTTTTTTTTTAATTATTAGTTGTTCAAAACATTACATAGGAGAAGACTCCTCTTATCTGCAAGAATGGTCCAATTCTCCACTGCTGTGGAGGAAATGGCTCAGAGAAAGACCTTCCTCAAAAGGTCTCTGATTGGCCTGTTGGGTCACAGTTCAGGGAAGAGGAGACTCTGATTGGCTGGCCATTGCCTTGCACATATCCTGGGGTGGGGGACTTAAACCTAGCAGAATCACAGTGAGTGAAGGAGGCTCATCCCGAAAGTAAAATAAGAGTGGTACCAAAAGATTGGTCCTTGTCCCCAATGCCACTCCAGTAATGAGGACACAGTTTTAAGAAAAAAGGGAAAAAACAGAGGGGACTCTTGTCCCAGAGGCTACATTCCAGGTATGTCTGATGGGTGTGTGTGTGTG